AAAAAACCCCCCAAAACCCCCAAATTCCCCCCAAATCCCTCCCAGGACCCCCCAAAACCAGTGGGGGAGGGGGGGAGTGATTATCGCTGCAGGGGGGGACCCCAAAAATTGAGGAGTCCCCCGAAATTGGGGCGGGGGGTGAGACTGGGGGGTCCCCCCCGAGGTTTGGGGGTTCCCCCGGATTTTGGGGGGTTCCCCCGGATTTTGGGGGATTCCCCCGGATTTTGGGGGATTCCCCCGGATTTTGGGGTCATTTCTTCTGGGGGGTGTTGAGTTTCTGCATCCCCCGAATCTTCTCCAGGAGATCCCCCACAAACGTCTGGGGGGGAAAGGGGGGTCAGGGGGACCCCAAAATCCTTCGGGGATCCCCAAATTCTCCAGCCCAAAATCCCCCAAAAATCAAGTCGCCCCAAATTCAGGGGGAATGCACCCCCCAAAATCCCAATTTCCTGAAGACCCCTCCCAAAATTCCCCCCAAAATTTCACAAAAATCCCCCCAAATTCCCTCCCAAAATTCCCCCCAAAACCTCCCCAAATTCCTTCCCCAAAATTCCCCTCAAAACCTCCCCAAATTCCTTCCCAAAATCTCCACAAAACCTCTCCAAATTCCCTCCCAAAATCCCTGATATTTCCCCCAAAACCTTCCCAAAAATCCCTCCCAAAAATCCCCAAAATTCCTTCCCAAAACCTCCTCAAGATCCCCCCAAAACTTTCCCAAATTCCTTCCCAAAAATCCCTGAATTTCCCCCCATATTTTTGGGGGATCTCTCCCAAAACTCCCCCCCAAATCTCCCCTAAAAATTCCCCCAAAGTCCCCAGAACCCCTGAAACCCCCCAAAATGCCCCAAAGTCCCCAAAAAGCCCCAAAACCCCCCAAAAATGCCCAAATCCCCCCAAGCCAGGCTCACCTCGGTGGGTTTGTAACAGTCCACGAGGATCTCCTGGGGGGGAGGGGGGTCAGGATTTGGGGTCCCCAAAATTTGGGGGGGGTCCCTCAACCCCCCCCCCCCAGCCACACCCGGATTTTGGGGAATTTTTGGGGGATTTGGGCAGATTTTGGGGAGGATTTTTGGGGGTGCTCCTGGGAGGGAGCCCAAGGGATTTTAAGGGATTTTGGGGTTAATTTGGGGGCGATTTTGGGGTGATTTGGGGCGATTTTGGGGTGATTTGGGGGCGGACCTTGCCAGGGACTCGTGGTGATTTTTGGCGTTGTTTTTGGGTTGATTTGCAGCGATCTTTGGGGTGACTTTGGGGGTATTTTTCGTGGGTTCGGGCGGTTTGGGGTGGTTTCACAGGATTTTGGGGTGGTTTTGGGGATGGTTTTGGGGTGCTTTGGGCTGATTTTTGACGATTTTGGGCAGGTTTTGGACCATTCTAGGTGGGTTTTGAGCTGGTTTTGGACAATTTTGGGCTGCTCTTGGGTGATTTTGGGTGATTTTGGGCTGATTTTGGACAATTCTGGGCTGGTTTTGGGCGATTCTGGGACAATTTTGGGACAATTTGGGGCCGATTTGGGCTGATTTGGGACATTTTGGGACAATTTGGGGCCGATTTTGGACAATTTTGGACCGGATTTGGGCCATTTTGGGCCATTTTGGGCCATTTTGGGCCATTTTGGGCTTTCGGGCCGTACCTGCACGCGGGCGCTGCGCGCGCCGTCGCTCTCCATGTCCAGCAGCTCGTCCACGTCGATCTCCAGCTCCGGGATCTCCTCCTCCTGCCCCGGAGTTTGGGGGGATTGGGGGATTTTGGGGGGATTTGGGGAGTTTGGGGAGATTTGGGG